AGCCTGACATTTAGTGTCTAGGTTGTTAAAGTTTATCTATTTAATGTTTGGTTCAATAGAAATATATTCCTACTGCCAATAAATATGGTCCTCGCGAAATTGAAAAGACATCCCATTACACTCTCTGAGCACTTTATTAGGAACACTGTAGTAATACTGGGTAGGGCCTCACTTTGCTCTCAAATCAGCCTCAATTCTTCGACAAGTTGGAAACATGCCTTTGCGCTTCTGGTCCATGTTGAAGAACTGTGAACTCATTGTCTTGTTCATGAAACCATTTTGAGACGACTTTTGCTTTGTGACATGGCGCATTATCATGCTGGAAGTAGCCGTTAGAAGATATGTAAATTGTGGCCGTGAAGGGATGCACATGGTCAGCAACAAGACTCAAACAGGCTGTGGCATTCAAGCCATGCTTGATTGGTATTAACAGGCTCAAAGTGAGCCAAGAAAACATTCCCCACACCATTACACCACCTCCACCACCCTGGACTGCTGACACAAGGCAGGTTGGGTCCATGGATTCATGCTGTTGGCTCCAAATTCTGACCCTACCATCTGTGTGGCTCAGCAGAAATCGAGATTAATCAGACCAGGCTATGATTTTCGGGTCTTCAACTGTCCAGTTTTGGCAAACCTGTGCCCACTGCAGCCTCAGCTTTCTGACAGTGTGTACACATGTACTTAATAAAGTGTTCAGTGAATGTATATTGCAATAGGCTACAGTATATTGATACTGTGAGAATTTTAAACCCAGATTCAAACATCGTGAGTTTTGTAGATGTTTTCACGCATCATGTCATGAACTGAAAATTTTTTTATATGTTTATTTTGGTGAAATTAAAGAGAATGACCAATGTGGTCAAGCTAATCCTGCACCAGACTATCACTAAACAGCAAAACCCAACTTTATTCTTAAAAATGTCTTGCTTTTGGTACTTAGGTAGATTGTTTGTAGATTTTACATTACTTAGGTTACGTGGGATATAACAGTGTTTAAAATCTTTAACTTTAGACAAACAAACCAACAAATAAATAAATAGTAAACTTAGGCAGAAACTTAAATGGCTTCTTAAATGGTTTGCACATTGCTTTTTTTTAAGATGAAAGTATTGTCACAGTTGGCGTCATTTGTGTTCCCAGTGTTTTGTGCTCGTTAGACACCATGAATTCATATCGTAACAGAAAATAAGATACAGACCTATTTATTATCTTCTTTTTTTCAAAATAATGAAACACAATTTTGCTTGCACCCATCGAGATGCCTGTTTTGATTGACAAAGCAACTTTATAGCTTACATTTTTAAATAATCAATCAATATGATCATTCTGATAATTCAGATAATTAATTGGAAAAATGTAAAATCATAATTTCATGTCCTCACAAATTACACAGCAATCGCTATTTTCAAGCTAGGTTTTAGAGTGTTTAGGCTTGAGATGGTTGATGATGGTATCAGGAATCGCTGATAGTTTCCATCTGGAGTGATAGCTTTTAAGTTGAAAGATTTAAATGCCTGAAAACATGTCTGCAGGTTTAAGGGCTTTAGCCACCTGTTTCCCTCTGCTTTGTGCATAAAAGGTTGGAATTCCTGCTTAGCACAGATTTTGATACAGCAGGTGAAAAATCGCTTGTGTCTCTATGTGTGGTGACCATGGTAACAGCAACGCTACAGATAGCCCCTGTTATCTTAAACCTACTTATCAAGGATAGACAGGTCTCTGTGTTTCTGTTTTTTCTGTGTTTGCTGGTTTTTTGTAATTGTAAAGTGAAAGGTGTGAGAAAGGCACTATATAAATATATAAACTTGTAACCCGAAGGTGAACCTGAAGGTCGCAGGTTAGAGTCTCGGGTCCGGCAGGGATTGTAGGTGGCGGGAGTGAATGACCAGCGCTCTCTGCCACCTTCAATACCACGACTGAGGTGAGACCCTTGAGCAAGGCACCGATCCCCCAACTGCTCCCCGGGTGCCGCAGCTAAAAAGGCTGCCCGCTGCTCCGGGTATGTGTGTGTGTTCACTACTGTGTGTGTGCACTTGGATGGGTTAAATGCAGAGCACAAATTCCGAGTATGGGTCACCATACTTGGCCACAAGTCACTTCACTATTATTTGAACATAAATAAAACTAAAAAAGAATGATGGTGGCCATGTACTTGTCTTAAGGCATGCATAGGATGGTTTCTTGAGCCCTTTTGTCACTCTTTGTATACTGAGTTGCAGCCACAAGCATTTGGCTGAATGTTGTTGTCTTCCTCCATCATGGTATTTTGTGTTTTGTACCGCTTAAAAGGCTCGGACGATAGCAGCAGCCGGATTTGCCAACCTCACTAGATTTCTTCTTCTTCTTCATAGTAGCAATAGTAATAACACACTGGGTAAACCCGACATCCCCTGCCCTGCAGATATGTCACAAGCCTAGTCTTATCGGCAGGTGCAACTTAAATGTTTCCTATACTGCTCTGGTCCACTAGCTAGCACTGACTGGAGCTGAATGCAAGTAAGTGAGCAGTAGTAAATAAAGCATTGGAGTTTTACGCATACACTCTACTACAAATATGAATCTCATTTATCATTTATTCCTATATTATTTCCTTCATCATTCATATCACAAAACTACCATTAACATGCAAGTCAGTCACCTCATAACGGTAACAAATATTCTCAGTGAAGCAAAATGTGTGAATTAAAAACGTGTGTAATTTGATAATCATCTATAGTTTTATTGTGTTTTATTTTGGTCTGAATCATTAATCACAATGTCAGGAGATAGATATTGGTCTTCAAAGAAAGATGAGAACAGAGACAGGAAAGAAAGCATGTAGTCTGATGTAAACTAGTTTATTATTTGTATATATTATTATTATTATTATTATTATTATTATTATTATTATTATTATTATTAACTTATTTGGATGTAATGGGGTGCAGCTGAAGAACAATATGATTCATATGATTTGTATTCTGCAGCTGGATTTCTTTTAATACATTATTCAAGTGCTTTAAGTCTTGTGCTTTTCTTATCCTTATGAATATTCAGCACAGTATTTAGCAGAATATTTAAATAACAAAATAATCAGTCATAAGATAACAAATTAATGGCTAGCATTTTGTTTAGACCTTATAATGAACAGCTCCGCCGTGAACATTTTCAGCAACATTCATTTTCAACTTCCTTCAGTTATTATAGTTCGGTTGAACACGGAACCGACGTGTCAGATGTACGTTGAGGATTTTCCCCCAAAAATTCACTTCTTTCAGTGAATTTGAAAAGCAAAAGCACACACACACATACTCTGGAACTATTTAATTCCCATGCTGGGGAGTCGTCTTCAAAATATTAATCTCGACAGAAAAGAGCTTTGATTTCCCACACTAAACAGAAACTCTGACCTTTTGACATCCACTTAACTTTAACTGATCCCTTATGAGCCATTTGCAAGTCAATTAGCAAATTAGCCCTAAGGACGTGACCCCTCCTACATTCTTTAGACTATGGAAATCAGATAGAGCTGGTCCAACATTTATAATTAATGAGTAATATTCATTTACAACATTCAGAGGAATGCTATGGGATGCACATACTGTACATGTGTCATGAGAAGGTTTTCCTTAGCCAGGACTCAGGTGAACGAAAATACACCATAAAGCTATGCAACTATTAGCCAAATTCCTGTCCCTCTGCTACATGATATTATTACGTCATCACTTTGACTTTAGTGTGTTAAAAGTCATTTTGCAGTTATCATTTCAGCGCAAGTAATGTTCTTATAGCGAGTATGTCTGTGCATGAATCAGATGTCTGTTTGCATTGGAGAAAGGAAGAATGAATGGTGTGTGTGTGTGTGTATACGTGTGTGTGTACGTGTGTGTGTGTGTGTGTGTGTGTTTGTACACCACACTTATTTATGGGGAAATGCATCCTTGTTGTAACACACTTAATATGGAAAATGTAATGGCTTTTATAAAAGATCACATTTCCCAGAATGCATCTAGTCAATATATTTTTCGAACACGACTCCATCAGTCTCCACTTATACGAGTAAAAACAGTCCGCGTTTATTGATTAAACGCAATAGGGATGATAATGCAGGAACATAAAAGACTGTGTTTTCACATGTCCATGTCTCCGCTTGGTGGTCCTCAGGTAATGATGTCATCTGCGCTCATGCACACACAAGACTGAGAGTGTTATTCTGGTGCTGTTCCTGGGTAAACAGATCTATACTCTTATTCTAACCCTTCACTGTGAGTTTATCTCAGAAACTCACATCACACTAATGTTCAAAATATGATTAATCATGAAGCCCAACTGTCGAATTCTACTGCTGTGGGTTTTTTTTTTTTTTTTTTGATCTTCAGAGCTGCTTGATTCATTCTGAGGCTCTAATTCTGCTTGCAACATCTGCACGTCTGGCTCACTTTCTGCTGTTGTGTTTCTTAAAAAAAAAGTCCAAATCTCAACCTTTCTTTAGTGGATAATCTCACCTGGATACTGTAGACTTGTACTTAAGAGCTGCTGCTGAAATCATAAAGACTGTCCTGTGCTCATCCCAGGATTCTTGTTCATAATATGCTCATACTGAACATCCTTTCAACACACTCAGTGCTGTTTGTTTACTCTTCTGCACCTGTATGCTGTAATGATATATATTCTCACCATCCAGTGCCGCCCAGAAGAGGATGGTTCCATTTTGGGTCTGGTTCCTGTCAAGATTTCTTCGTGTCCTATCACCTCTGGTTTGCTTATTAGCGATCTAAATCTACAGCTAGATTCCTGTAAAGCTGCTTTGTGACAAAGCAAATTGTATGTAAATGTTTTGATAGGCCAAACTTTTTTTCCTCTTTCAGCTGCTCTAATTCAGGGTCACCACAGCCTGCATATTTTTGATTCTGGCACAAGTTTTATGCCAGATGCCCTTCCTGACGCAACGCTCCCCATTTCCGGGCTCGGAACCAGCACTGAGAGTGCACTGACTCATTCAACCCTCCAGTGGCTGGTTCCCTGACCGGGATTCGAACCGTGACCGCGCAATGAGAGCACCACATGCTAGCCACTATTCTACCAGGGAACCTTTTCATAGGCCGAACTAAACTAAAGAAATCCAGCCAGCCAAGTTTTGGTAGCATTGATTTTCTTCACACTCATGTGCATGATCACAAATGATGATAAGTTATGGATAAATGACCAAATGAGGTCACGGCACATTTAATGACGTCCCGAAAACTCCAATATAGGCAAAGCTTACAGAGCTGAAAAGAGACAAAAACGATGACTAAAGAGTGAAAGAGTGTGTCCCGAGCACGACATGTTCTGAGCACATGTTCCAAGCACAGCTTTTCCTAAGCACAGTGCTAAATCTTCCAGTAATGCCAGCTTAGCCACTGCAGCGTGACGACTACCATAGTGACAAAGTCACTCTTCCTCATTTTATAGGGTGCCATTTATTTTCCAGTAGAATTTTCCTCATTTTTGCCAAAATTGTGCAAAATGCAAAATTGACTATGTGATTTGTATAAAAATAAATTTGCAGTAACTCGTCACCAACACTCAACACTATTTGAAGCCAACCAATCGAGGTTAACAATAGCGAGTCTCCTTATAAGTAAATTTACTCAGGAGCTCTCATAGGATACAGGCGCTTTTCAGAACTAAATGGATTTTCATGAATACCACATTTCTTGTAATGTGTAAATATTCCTGTGAGCGATTAATGAATAAAATTCATTTGTATGCAGTTTGATAAATGACATGCAATGCCATTTTGAATTTTAAGGTTTCCCTCAGAAGAACAAACCACATAATCTCTTTGGGTGCTAGATTTCTGTAACAGCATGCCAAATAAAATGCTATAAGATGATTAATACAGTATAATAATACAGTAAGTTTAGGGGGTTAAATCACAGGTTCACCTGTTTTTTCAAGATGGCATGATGACACGTTTTCTTTTTTTATACCAATACTCGTGCTAAAATATTGAGTATCACCTGATATTGATACCCCATGATATTTCTTCCTTTAAAAATGACTAAGCTTTAAAAATACAGGAAAAAATACTTTCTCACAAATCTATTGCATCGCAAATGGAGTATAATAAATACAATAAAGAATAAAGTGCAAGTATAATAAAAATCAATCCTAACCAAAAGAAAAAAGAAAAAAAAATCAAGTCTCTCTTTATATGTAGACATTTCCAGTTCCAAAAAAAAAAAAAAAACTTTTTCAAATCCAATTCCAGTCTTTTCCATTTGTTACAGGGTTGGGTTTTGCTGGTATCAGTGCCATCTCTCAGTTTGTTTTTATAGTCGTTAGTCTATGAATTAATACAGAATTGCCCTTGTTGCTCACTTAAGGGAGATCTGGATAATAAGCTAGGAAATTGGCAAAATTTTGACATACTGGTGCAAAAAAAAAAAAAAGACCTGGTGGTGTGTTTCCACTTGTTTTTTTTTTTTTTTTGTCGCCTGACTCTGAAACATTTTTGTTCCACCTCTCAACTCCATCTTCATTTGTTTTTGTTCTATGCACGCTCAGTGAAGAGCCTTGAAGACGAGTAACCCTGAGCTCCAACAAAACACTCTCTCAGATCGTTAAGTAGCAGCAAGGACATCATGCGGCCTCCTCTCACTCTTTCTCCCTCTCTCTCCCTCTCTCTTTCTCTCGCTCACACTCTCTCGTCCTCTCTTACTTATTTTCACTCATTTATTTTTACTTATTTTCAATCATCTTCTCTCTATTTCTGTTCCTCGCGCTTTCTGTCATACAGTGACTTACATTCTGTTTTCTTGTTCTATTACTCCCTCTCCATTGCCTTTTCCCATCAGTTTATTATTCTCTCTGTCTCTCTTACTTCCTGCTTGCACACTGTATTTCTGTTTCTGTCTATTTGCCTGTTTGTGCTCTCTCTCCCTCTCTCTCTCTCTCTGTCTCTTTCTCTCTCCAAGTGCTTCCATTTTCCAATCATGTCTCTCGAGGGCTTTTTTCTCATCTTCCCTCTTTTTCCTGATGGCCTCTTTCCTAGCATTTTTTTTTCATTTCCTTTGTATAAAAAGGGGAGAAAGAATGAAAGCAAAACAAGGACATAAAGGTAATGGAAGGTCAAGGGAAAGAAAAAGAAAAATGTAGAATGGGACCACGTCTTAATTTTAAGGTGTATTAAAATGTAAAATCTTTTTTTTTTTTTTTTTCCTTCATAGAAAACCTTCTCTATTCTCGATAAAAAGAGGAGTGGCGAGGAGAATAACGAGTGGGATAATGAAAGATGGAGTGATAGAAATGCAGGAGATGAAGGAGCAATGGAGGGATGTGGTGTGGTATTGAACCTTGTTTTCATTTCTGACCAGTGGATTTGCTCTGATAAATATTAAACAGGTTTTATATAACAGTAGTAATATTAAAAATAATAATAATAATAAACGGGATTGGGAAGACTGCTTCCTGTGAAGAAAATAATTACATTTCACACACATGTACACACACACACACACACACACACACGTAAATCCCTCTTTGACTGATAGCATCATTTCAATCAGAGTCTAATTACAGTAACTTCCTGCTCTCACTTTGCTCCTTTGCCTCATAGTGATAACTGATAGATGAAGGCACATTTACTGCAGGTGGAAATGTATATTTTGCCCTATATGAATATTTAATGCTTCAGAATCGATCAGCATTTTGACGTTGACATGATAAACCCCTCGTAACAACATAGAATGGAATTTAATCCGGGATATCTGAGATTAGAGGTCATAATTGTGCTGAAGAGGTTCAGCACTCGTTTAGTACAGAGCAAGAAAGACAAAACGATGTAGCTATCATTACAGATGGTTACATTCGCATTTTTGATGATCGATAATCCCAAAACTGTGGTCTATTACGCTCCAGACCTCATGACCTCCGGGCCTTTTTTTTTTAGATTTTGGTACTGAGCCATTTAGTGTCACTGCTAAGTGAAATTAAAATTTTAAAAATGCCATAAAAAACAAAAAATGCATAGAAAATAAAATAAAAATAAGAAAACAAAGTATAAAAATATAAAAATAAATAAAAAAAATAAATATATGAAATTATAAAAATAAAAAAATAAAAATAATATTAAATATAAGAATATAAAAGACAGTTATTAGCATTAGCACATAATCATAAAGCAGGTTTATGGCGTAATTTTCAGTAATGGATTGTAAAAAAAAAAAAAAAACAGTAATGAGGTATTAAAGTGGCACATGCATAGAAATATATATTTTTGCCATTGTAGAAAATGTACTTAAATAAAAAAAATAATAAACGTGATCACTATTCTTCTCTCTATTCTTATAAAGGCATACACAGGAACTGTTTGTCTTTTAGAATAATGGTAATGAATATAACTCTAATATTTAGTGTTTAAAAATACACAATAAACATACGGGGACATTTTCAAGAATATTCAATAGCTTATTTTCTCCCTCACTATATTCCAGTGATGTTCAAGGTCATATTACTGAGAAATCGATTGTAGAAATAGTAGAGACAGCAAATGTCGGACTCGAAGTTCCAGAATGCAATGCTGCTATACGGCACAGTCGCACTGAATTACAGGTGGACAGGCTAAAGGGCTAAAGGACTAAAGCGCTGCTGCATTGCTCTTTTTATAAAGAGATGAAACAAGGGCTAATTCTATTGGCACCACTATGGTCAGGTAGTCGAAATGCATTGTGGATAATGTAGGAGTGAAAAGAGACAATTAAAGAAGATTAAGAAAAAAAGCCAACCTGAATTTCATTACAAAATAAAACGTGTATGCCACAAGATCACATAAAGGTGGATTCAGGGTGGATTTTTTACCTTTAGCTAAATCTTTCCTTCAACTATCCATCTCTAAATTTCTCACTCTCTGTCCAAGTCTTCCTATGTCTTTACACAACTTCTCTATCTGTCTGTCTGGCTGTCTCTCTCTCTCTCTCTCTCTCTCTCTCTCTCACCATCTTCCTATTTTAAATTCACACCAGCTCTCACACGTCTTCTATTAAACTGATTAGGATTAGTGCTCTCTGACTGCTTTATGGAAATGTTTCGATGAACACACATAAACAAACACACACACACACACACACACACACACAAACATCTCAGCTCGTGCCTAAATATGTTTTTGTCATTTTGTAATTTGCCTCTCCTCTTGCGCTCTCATATGCCTGTGATCATGTAAATGACTGCTTTTTCACTCATATATGTCAGTCCAGAGCTCAGGTTACTATCAGTGCCAGGTTTCACCTGTTCTCCCTGTGTCCTTTTGGGGTTTCCTCCAGGTTCTCTGTTTCTTCTCACCTCCAAAAACATGAACATCTAAGTTGCTAAGTGTGAATGTGTGTGTGTGTGTGTGTGTGTGCGTGCAAGGTGGCCTATGACGGACTGGTATCCCATCCAAGGTGTATCCCCACCTTGCGTTCCCAGGATAGGCTCTGGATCCACCGCGACCCTGACCAGGATAAAGCGCTTATTGAAGATGAATGAAATAATGAATGCTTGTGTATATTTCAGTTTCTTTCCAGGGCTTTCATAATCCGTTTGGCTCTTTTGCTGGTGTGTACTGGCAGGACTGTGTGATTTGGAAGTCGGGACCAAACACACGTCTATTTGGTGCTTATTACACTATTGGTGCTCCGAGGTTTTCGTAATAATATTATACTGTATCTGTACTCACTCATACACACTGTCAGTATTGCGTGTTTAAAAATGAGCATTTAACAAGAATATATGTAAGTTTGTGTGAATTAGTAGGATGTGTGTATGTGTGTTAGTGTGAGGGTGGCTGAGGAGAATCTGAGGAGAAATGTTCTAGTAGTTCCCCCTCTCTCTCTCTCTCTCTCTCTCTCTCTCTCCCTTTTGTATGCCACATTTCTCATTCTGGGGCTTTAAAAGGTCGGTTTTATGCCTCCTTAATGAGCTCTTCAGTGAAGCATGCATAGATTCAGATTTAGCAGTGATTATTAGCTAGAATCGAACACAGCAGATACATTTGTTGATTGCTGGAAGTAACAAGGCGGATGCAATCATATCACAAAGAATGAAGAAAAAGATATTTCAGTA